GAGTTGGTGGACGTCTACAAATGTTAGAATCGTCATATGAGACCCGTCATCCGGCTTTATTACCTTGCTACCATCCAGTCACTGATCTCATTATAAGACACTACCATGTTCTTGAAGGTCATTTGGGTACTTCGCAAGTACTATCAAGTATTCGATGTAAGTTCTGGATAGTGAAGGGAGGTACTGCTGTCCGTAAAATAATTGATAAGTGCATGGAATGTAAACTCCGAAATGCTCGTCCAGTACAGCAGATGATGGCACCACTCCCAGCGTGGCAAGCTTCTGAAGGGAATTATCCATTTGAGTACGTTGGGGTGGATTTGTTCGGACCTTTTGTAGTGAAGAGAGGCAGAACCCTATGTAAAAGATATGGCTGTTTATTCACCTGTTTGAAAATGAGAGCTGTGCATATTGAGATGGTTCATACGCTAACTACTGATTCATTCGTGCTAGCATTACATAGATTTATAAATCGCCGGGGTGTACCGAAGATGATGTTCAGCGACAGAGGGACTAATTTTGTTGGCTGTCACGCCGAGCTTAAAGAGTACTTCGAAGGTCCCAAACGAGAGTTCAGGAAGAGTTACTGAAAAGGAACATCGAGTGGCACTTCAACCCACCACATGCCAGCCATAGAGGTGGGCTATGGGAAAGACTTATAGGAATTATCAAGCGTATTTTAAGCTCCATAATTAAAAACCAGAGTTTGAATGACGAAACGCTGGAGACATTTTTTTGTGAAGCTGAACGAATATTAAATGACCGGCCGTTATCACCTGTGAGGGACGACGTCAAGGATTTTGATGTGTTAACCCCAAATAAATTATTGTTATTGAGAGGCAACCCTGGCATAGAGGACTCAAGCGGGGAAGGAATACCTACGATTAAAAGATGGAAACAAGCCAGGCACATGAAAGATATATTTTGGAAAAGATGGTTAAAGGAGTATGTTCTAACACTGCAAACCAGGGACAAGTGGAAAAAGTTGTGCCGAAACTTAAAGGTTGGTGACATAGTATTAGTAGCAGATAAATGTGCCACAGGTAGGTGGCCTTTGGGAGTGGTAGTAAGGCTGATCTGTAGTGGTGATGGATTGGTGAGGACGGTTGAGGTGAGAACAAGTTGTGGCATGTTGGTGCGAGATATTAGAAAACTGTGTCTACTGGAAGGTGCTGAGAGTAGAGAGTCGGAGGATGAAACACTAGACGATTTTCCAACCTAGAGCGTCAACCTGAGAAGGGTTGTAGGCGTACTGCTGTAAGTCCTACAGTTCTTCAAGGGTAGTTTGTCGTGCCAGCAGTCCAATGTGCTGGTGTGTGATTTTGTACATATGTTCATGTTGTATATACTGAATCGATATCATCTGTCATCTAGATGTTGGTAATTCTGTTTGTGACTGGACGACTTCCACTTGGATCATCAACCTGAGAAGGAATGTAGGCGTACTGCTGTAAGTCCTACAGTTCTTCAAAGGGTAGTTTGTCAAGAATCCACAACATTTGAAGTGTTGATTGTACATATGTTTGTGTTAAATAATTGTGTGAGTTCCAATTATCGTAATTGTTGGTTAATCTTGTTTGTGTCCGGACATTCCACAACTTACAATCGTCAACGTGAGAAGGGTTGTAGGCGTACTGGTGTAAGTCCTGCGATTCTTCAAAGGAATTCCATCAAGACATGATCCGCGAGTTTTTGTGTACTGTTTGTATATATGTGTGGTGTGTCATATCAATTGGTGTTTTTGGATTCATTGTGTTTACTCGTTGTTTTCGTACCTTGTTGTTATTACATAATTTTGTTAAAATTTTCGTCGTGATTACTTCTGAAGTTGTTTCTTGTCTTCTACATCCGTGAATGAATTGATTGATGTTAAGGACAGCAGATGGGGCGTATACGCCGGGGAGGCTAGGCTATTGCTGAGAATGAAATGCACACGGAGATAATTATTAGCTGCGGTCCGACACGCCGGGGAGAAAGAGTGTAAACGACTGAGGCTCGCATACGTCACCGTTACTAGAATTGAGGCAGAATGAGTGACAAGCGATTTCAGTGGTAAATGGTAGTGAGTAGATACGAGGACGTGAGTAGAGTATCGTGAGGTGGTGCTATGGTCACATTGCATTCTGCAAGAGTCATTCTAGCGAGTGGCGATTGTGTTGCAAGATGTCAAGAGGACACCTTTAACTGAAAGGCGCAGGTCGTCATTGATGTGTGAGATTGTGCTGTGGGTATGCTTGTGGTGTGTTGGCTTTTCTGTTTGTTCTCCATTTCAGCTCTGTCCGTGTGACCCAGGTTCTCGCAATGGCATCCAAGTCAACGTGTATTGGTCGTGAAGGAAAAAAGGGATGGATCGGTATTTTGCCGGGGAGTGTCAATGGAGTTGAAGATTGAACGATCAATTCATGGTTGTTTGCTCAAAACCAACTTCCCCAATTTTCACGGAGTCATCAATACGACAGTCATCGTCTCATCGGTCGCTGTTCAGAAAGAAGTCAGTAGAAAACCGTCAGAAGTAATATTGTGATTTATTATTGTAATATTTGTTCACAGACCTCAGTAGAAATATTTTTTATATGTTGGTGTTACAATAAAGAATCCTCAAGTCACCAATTGGTGTTTTGGTTTTTTCGTCCGTTATTACTAAGCGTTTCTGAGAAACTTCAAGGAACAGCGTGAGCCCGAGCGTAGCAAGAGCTGGGCATTAACTGTTTACGAGACGTGGCTGACAGTATGCTTTTCGAAGCCACAGAAACCTTAAAGATACACAGAAACTCAATTTTGTAAAACACTTCTGCTCCTGAATAATTGTATATCTATGGCTAAGAGGGCGAATGTTCAGCATGCCCTACCGACAGACGGATTTCAGAACTAAAGTTAGGAGATCTATGCTGTAATGAGGGCAGAAACATTTTCGGGAGGCACAAGTCAGAAACCTGACTATATCCAAATCTTTGCCTCTGTAGAGCAGAGGATTCTGGCTGAGTTAGTAGCATGCGAAGCAACTACGTGTAGCCTCCTTCACGAATAGGCAGGTCTGGGTGATCCGGTCGACAAATGTAAACTGAAGTGCAAAGGAAGATGCTATCGAAATGGTGGTAACATATAGAATTCTTCACTGAAAACGGATGGTTTCCTCATAGAGAAATTAGAAACATGGAGGCTAAATTTGCGCTGCACATAATTCACTGACTTTCGTGATTCATCAATGCATCTGAAAAACCTATCAATAACGCAATCAAAACAGTGTCGGAGGTTGTAGGCGGCTAGGACTTCTCAGATCGATTAAAAGTGACTAAAGCCAACCTACATAGTGACGTCTTTTGGTCGCGTTAAAGGACTGGCGTGTGAATAGTGCCTACTAGAAGATGCTTAGGGTCATTTCGTACATCTGTTCACTCGCAGAGTTCAATCATTACTCCTCTGAAGTGTTTCTAAGTGACGGGACTGTGGTCTTCCAACAAGAGGCAGGGAAATTCAAGGTCCTTTTGGGCCATATCAATTGCCTGAACTCATCTATCACCACCAAAATTTCAGAAGATGGAAAGCTGCATATCAAAGCTAGAAACAAGTTTACTGCAGCAACTTGATGATGAGGAGCATGATTTGAAGCCAGTCCATGGCGAAATGCAATAGAGCATCACAAAAGATTCGCGTAAATGAGTCACTGGAGTAAGGTGCATAATGCAATCCTTGAGCTGATTACTGGCACCAGCACAATTCAGGAGAAACAGGATAATGTGGAAGTAATACGAGATTAGTACAACATTAGCCTAACAAAATAGTCATCAATACACATTACACCAGCTCCTGTCACATCACGAAATACATTATTTTTGATTGGACATTAGTCAGTAATTAGTTTGTAACAATGTCCAATTATGCACTTCGCTCTGTCATACATCTTTAATTGGGTCGTTTTGATAGTTTGCGTTCATTATTCAGGATATTTGAGATTTTACTGAGGTGGTCATTCAAGTTCGTCAGGAACCACGGTCTTTATCAAAGCGTATCAGCATAGTCTCGACGTTGCCAATTAACTGTAAGTTCTTGTAGTGTGATTAAAATGCTATCATTCGGTTTATTCAGTAAGATATATTTGCATCCAGTTTACTTTTGGGTATTTATGTAAGGCTTTCTCAGTACCGTGATTTCACTCCTCATGACTCCAATCTTGACTCGTCTTCCTAACAAAATTACTCAAAATGCGCTTAGATCTGTCAGTTTTCCACGTCATCCTACCTAATTAATTTGCTTTATTCAGTGACTGATAAGCGTTTCCCTTTCTTGACGGCCCATTTTTGGAAACATTTCTTCTTTTGCTACGATAATGAGAATGTTACGGTGAAGAATAACTTTGCTTTAATAAAACATGAGTGTTTAGCGCTGGATGCAGATTGTGTTAAGAAACGGTATCAACTTTTATTCCCTGCACAAGTGGTTTCAACTGCGTTAAAAAGAGGTACGCGTCCAATTGAGAATTCAGAAAGTAAATGGATTATTAGCTGCAATTTCTGATATTGAGGAAGATGAAGGAATGCCGATATTCACACAAAGTGCGCTATGAATAAGCGTAAGCTCCTTTCCTTCACCACCCATAGTGCCTGTTCCGCTTGGGCCAGAGACAAATCAAAACACCAAATCGATCATCCAAAATATGATATACATTTCGGGATCACAAGTGTTGTGCAATGTTTAGGTAGCGGGCTAGAGGTCGTCCACGAACGTCTGAACGTAACACGACGGCATAATGGATGACATGGATACTTGGTCGCAAGTCTTCAGACTGATGAGTCAACTTAAACAGTGAAGGTTGGCATCCAGTAGTGGGTGAAGATTGCTGTAGACCATTCATTTTGAGAAATTATCTACTACTAAAGCTATGTTGTTTTTCACTAGTTTAATAGCAGAGTAAATAATGATCGACTGACTTTCTGCATAAAATCCAATTGCAAATGAGGTATTTTTTTCAAACTACTAGCAGTTGTTTAATTGTAATGAGCCTGTTTACCGTGTTGCAGACCAGTATGCACATCTACTGAGGTTTGAATGTGATAGATTGTTTGACGTGAATGAGTACCTTGAACCTTTATCACCATGAAAAACTGGAAAGGTGAAATGTAATTGATGAAGATATTTTCGAGACCGGTATATTGGATCATAGAATAGTATGTTACACTGACCACAGGAATAATGAATTTCAGCATGAACCGCGAATATCGAAACTGAACTCAATATTCATTGGAAGTTATTGGTTATCGTAGATGTTTTTGCATCCAAGTTAGTTTAGAGCTCAAAAATAATCCTTCAGTTGTTAGTAAGTTTACCTGGTTAAGCTTGATGAGTTATGCAAGCATTGCTCATTGGCTGCTATTCAAGAAGATCGTTGAAATGCAGGAAACAGTGCATGCGACACTGTACCCCTCGAGGAGTACATATATATGGAAGAACGATAGTTCTCTTGACAACCCATATCTTTGATAAGGTCAACTGGTGATTGATAGTGCCGTGTGTCGTTACATATTTTGCTTGTCCTCTTCCGGAATTTCGAGCATGTTTCCGATATACAGCTGCTCCGCAAAAGCATACTTTGTCTGTTGGCTTTCTAGTAGAGGATTTAATGGGATTCACTATCTTATTTTCTGCCATTTGAAATATATATAGGTGGATTACTTACAATACATTCGATGTCTCTATTTTGAGCCATTGTTTAGCAGAGCCCTGGCTGTTTTTCTTTTCAGAGACATCCGTAGTTGACACTACTTCTCAGTATGTGGACCCCAGTTGATCAATTTCTCATCTGTGCGGAGTGGTTTGTCAGAGTAAAATCCTTACTTTTGATTAAGTAGCCAACTGTGAATGTCAGTTAAACCTTGGATTCATTTTGTGATGTTGAGACGAAATAGAACATACACGTATGTCACTAGTCACGCAAAGCTGAAGCTAAAAAAGTGGTTAGTTCCAACAATTTAAGCACCTAACTGGGTTGAGAATATCTGGAAAGATGGTCTCTTTGCAGGAACAGCTATTAAGAAGTGCACTTAGGAAATGTAGCTAGCTCTATAGAGCTATAGGTAAGTTGGCGCACTGGAGTTGAAATAACTTTTTCTGGAAGTCAAAATGAAGGTACTAATGGTACACTAATGTTCGCATAGATTTTCGGATTCTTTATTATGAAGTGTAAAATTGGCATATACTGGTTGGATCTTATATGACTAGCAGGCTTAATATCCTTCGATGTTGATAACACTAGCAGTAAATTGCAAACCCAGTGGACGCTGTATGGAAATAACGTTCAGCATTAACTCGATATTGCAATACCTACTAACTGCAGTATACTGATAAAGCCGTCTAGTGTGCCGGAGGTAAATGTAATTTGTTGTTTACAAAAAGCAAGTGCCAGGACTAAGTTCGTGAAAGACTGCAAGAAGTATTTACAGCTTCGGCATCTTTATTACTCATCATATAAAACTGTTCATAAGTTTTAATGACTAAGAAAATTAAGCAAAATGCATTAAAGGCAGCGAATGTTTTAAATGTGTTTAGGCTAGCTGCCATTGACTACAGATATTTGCGTTTCATATCCCGTGTTAAGAGGGGTAACGTGGTGAGCAATATTGAGGTTAGGTGTAGAGTATTAAGTAAGGAAGTCTGTCAATCAGGTTACTCGTGCCAAACCACCTCCTCTCCCAACAGGTGATGCTAGCTGATAAGATAAGGGCAAAAAAGAGTTAATTGTGGTCAAAGCAAAAACTGGCATCAATTTCTGGAGTCTTTTGCTGTTGTCGTGAACTACGTAGGAAGGTGTGAGCTGACTTGAAGGAGTCCTCTGGAAACCAAGAATCAGTAGCTGTAAATTATTGGTAGCACGAGCGGATACACTCTGTAATCTCTCTAACCTGTTCAATGTTTCTGTTCTTTCTCCAGTACATTTCCGCTCATTATGGTTCTTTTGAGTTTTTTCTATTCTTTATCTTTGTGTGCTACATAGAGTGAGCTGCTGAGCTGTGCAAATTCCTATATCTAATTCGGTCAAAGGAATTACGATTATTTTGAGGTTAACTCGTAACAGTTTCGTGTTAATGAAGCTAGGTGGCAAAGTGCCTATCTGTATCCTAAATTAAACTTTATCATAAGTTCATCCAAAATTGTGAATTTATGATATGAGTCCTTAGAATAAATCTCCACACTATGCACTGCAAGAAGTGTTGGTCACATCCACGCAAGTTAAGACGGACATAAACTCTCTATATATGCGAATTTTTTAATGAATTGTAGTTTTGTCTCATCAGGTAGAGTGAATGCTGTCAGTGGCTGTATCATTTTCTGAGTTGGTTAGTAATATAAGCCATTCTACACTTCTTTAAGCGTGTATGTAAGCTGAATGTTATTTATACTCTTCGAATTTGTTGTAATCTTTGTTTTGTAGATTTAGAAAATGACATCCACATGGAATAATTTATTACCCAGACGTATTTGTGTTCCGCGCAAGAGGTAACGTCATGTTTGTCCTGATTGCTAGTGTTTCTTCTGATTGTTCTTCTTGGGTAAAATCTTTTAGTCCAACAGGCAACTTACCACCCAAACGACATTCTTCTAGCCGTCTGACAACTACTTCAGGGGTACAGAAAATCTCAAAGCTTTATGAAGATCAAAACTGCATAAATATTTCACCTCCATCATCTCCGGAGCAAGACGTTTGGAATTTCGTCATGAACTATTAAACATAGAGGACCCTTTTGTGAGTTGCTCTTGTGGTATTGGTTATCCTCACAAACGTCTATCATTTATAGGTTACCACTTTGTTTTAATTGGTAAATTTGTAAGACCTGTGAAAATCTCAGTTTTAAACTAGAACTATAAATTGAAATAAATTGGTTAATCATCCTCCATGGTTAACGATGATGGGATGTGGTTGGGATTAGTATTCCTATGCTAATTGCATTAATGAAGCTTGTGATCACTGGCACGAAATGGAATGAATTTTTTTTGAGGGGGGTAGTGGCTATACATTGTGCGTCGGAGACACAGTGGTTAAAACTGTCGCCGACCATGTACGTGGTCTGTGGTTCGATTTCCTGCCGACGCACACCTGATATCAATGGTCGGCCTGCAAAATTCGGGCTACCGATATCCATGCTGAAAATTCTATACTTGTACCAAAAATACGGTGTAGAATCAAGCTGTAATCAAAAATAAAAATATATATACTTATCAATGAATCAATGTAAGTTTTCCACATCAAAGCCTCGTTGGTAGATATATTCTGACCTAATAAGTACTAGTAATACTGACTACCACCTGTAGTGTTGTATACCATTTCTGGGACATTCAATAGGATGACTTATGTCAAAAATATTTGATTCTTTCTGTTGTTATGATTTTAACTGACACTAAAAAATTGTCCACACTTCGAGATTACTGAATATGTCATAACCACAGTATAGTATATCCTCCCTTAGTTTACTAGCTCGCTAGTTTTCTAGCCAGTCCCAAGCCCGGGCATCGGGCTAGCGATCCTACTCCGGAAAACCAATCGAACTACTACGGACACTTCAAGGCACAAGAAAAATATCGACAAAACAAAATATATAAAGAACAAACTTATTTTCTGCTGAAATCGGAGGGGCGAAATAACGCGGGATGGTGAAAGCCTTCGGGGAGCAGATGTGTCTTCTCTCGATGAAAGCAAAAGTAAGAATGGGCACGCGGAATGTACGTACAATGTACGAGGCTAGGGAGGCTGTCCAGGTAGCCAATGTAACGAGATTATGGTATAGAAATACTCGGAATCTTTGAGAGCAGATATAATGGATTTTGACCAACCAAATTGTCAACTGGAGAGTCAGCAATCTACTCCGATCTGGTCACCCAGACGACAACCATTAGCACACTGAGAGAATGCGTATCATGAAGAGACTCAGGGATGCACTGGATGGATATCCAACTCTGCCCACAACAAGCTGGATTCAGGAAGGGCGAATCATGTGCTGATCAAATTGCAACTCTACGCATCATCGTCGAACGGAGCATAGAATGGCAGTCAGACCTCAAATTCATCGAATTTTAGCAGGCTTTTGGCAGCGTTGGCCGTGAAGTAATTTGTAAGCTACTTCAACACAAAGAGTACTCCAACTCTTCATCAGTTTCATTCATCTACTATATGATAATGCTGCATGTCAAGTGATTCACAATGAAAAACTCAGAGATGTCATTGAAGTGAATACAGGAGTAAGACAAGGCTGCCTATTATCATCAGTGATATTCTCGACTGTCATGGACTGGATTATGTAGGTAACTATAGGGTGTGGGAAGACAGCAATACTGTGGACCGATAAGAGCACTCTAGAAGATCTGGACTTCGCAGGTGATTTATGTCTGATTTCATGCAAACTGGAAGAGTTGCAGGTGAAAACCAACAATTTAAGAAGCAGCAAATACAGGAATTCAAGTGAATATATAAAGAAGACGGACGTGATAGAGATAACCAACCAACAACAACAAGCACCACTCACTACCAACCGAAGAAATTTGAAAGAGGTAACTTCCCTCAATTATCCAGGCAAAATCGTTTTAACTACAGACGGAACACATGGAGATGTCAAAACGAGGATCGGAAAGGCAGAGGCAAATCTTCATCACCCTGAAATCGGTTTGGAAGTCTTCTGAACCCAAGATAAGGAACAAGATTCGGATTTGCAACACCAATGTCAAGTCGGTTCTTCTATATGGGTCATGAACTTGACATGTGCGTTACGAAAAGCATTTTCAATAGGTTGCAAACTTTCGTCAAAGCTGCCTTTGCTCCATGTTGAATATCGAATGGCCAGAGAGGATTGGCTAAAAGGAACTCTGGGAACGAATCAATCAAGAGCCTTTTGCTCAACAAATATGTAGGAGAAAATAGAGGTGGATAGAACACACAATGAGGCAACCGGTGGGTGATATCGCGTTCCAGGTCATATCTTGAGTGTGATCCGAATGGGAAACGACGAGTGGGGCGTTCGACAGTGACATGGAGGAGATTGCGAGGCGAGGAGGAGATGAGAGATTGTGGGCAACTATGGAGCCAACTGAAGGGGACAGCAGAAAATAGAACAAAGTGATGTGTTGTTGGGGCCCCATGTTCCATTCGGAATTGAAGGGGACAATAAATAATGCATTATATGGGGTAGTATGTCCATTAGAGAAATTAAGTAGCTAATTTTTAAATGCGTTAAAATACCGTATCAATTATGTTAAGTTTGCACAGTTTGAAATAATATCTCGTACCGTAATATAATCATTGTGGTGTTCCTAAAAACGTATGTTAATTACTAAATGGGTTCATTTCCTATCCACTAATGGCGTGTTTAGAGTAATAAATTAGTAGATTGTGTACTTATCTGCGTTTGGTTTTATTAAGGATTTTTACGTCAGTAGAAATACTGCACTGGTACATGATGATGTCAATGGATTTAAAATTAGTACGTACAGCAAATGTGAAACTGGGAAAATACATAAAGTGGTGTAGAATAAACTGGTTTTTACGGAGATCTAGTTGTTTATTCAATTTACTTCCTCTTTTATGTAACATGATGTTTGTGTTCTTACTGATAATTTATTCATAACTTAAACTGTCTCTGAAGTTCTCTACGTATTGTGAACCTATGTTGTTTCCACTGTTTTGCATTGTAGCCGTTAGACTCTGAGTTACAGCAGCTTCAAAATTTGAGATCTGGCCACTGTTCGTCATCAGTTGTATCACAAAATGAGGCTGGCACTATTTGTGAAAGTTCCCAGCCAAATTATGTGACAGAACTACGGAATACAGACGAACAAACAAATCTCGATTCAAGTTTTGAGTCTTTATGCTATCTAACTGAATTACAACGAGACTGTGCAGAGGTCCCATATACAAGTCTGTGCGTCAAGTCTCTTCCTCGTCGAGTTCCACCGTATGTTTTTTATTATTTCAGTCCCATTCACAGATTTTTTTCATCAAGATAATACAGTAGGTAGTGGTGTTAACTTGGTTAAAAACTTAACATAGGAAAAATAAGTTATGGGTTTGCTTCAGAGCTTTTCAGACAGCCTTTCCTTTGAAGTAATTTATAGCATCCCTTATTGTGCATATTTCTGATACTCAACTTTGTTTAATTTCTTGAACTTATGTGACTAGAAAACTGCAGCAAATGCTGTCAACACAATTGTCTTAGTAAGCTACTAGTTAAGCTTGATTCTTAGGCATTATATACGATAGGTTGTTTTGTAAACTGTATTTAGTAATTTCTATTGCTCCACTGCTATGCACCAAGCAGTTGTTGGATATAATTTTAATTTTTATGTGATTCTATTGTTGTGTAATGTTTGTTTGCTTGTGGGATGATTTATAGAATAAACAGTGACCAAGTTTGACTATAGAATATAAGTATTGTGTGTAGACTTCCGTATCTGTTGGTTCACTTCATTTACTTGGCAACTTGGCATTAATTGTCCACTTTTTTACCAACTCACCTTCTAACCTGAGGGACGTAAAAAAAGTAAGCTGTATGTAAAAGTATAATGGGATAGAAGGACAATACTCTCACTTTTTAAGTGATAGTATAGATTATAGACAAGTGGTATTTATATTTTTATCTTAAATCTTTTAGCTACGGTTTAGGATTGTCAGTTGTATTATTTTTTGAGAAATCAAACAAAGTATAGCAACTCTTGCCAAGTGAGTATCCTGATAGTAATGTGGCGCTCAGCATAATTATATTACTGAGTCTGAAAAGAAATTGGGAAATAATTATAATGAAACCGTAACAGGCTATGTTATAGCGCATAAAGCACGCAAGTTCATAAGATTTCAGTTAAGTGACTTTTCTACGGCATTATTTATGATGAGGAACTTTACAGTATTGAGTTTTTCGCTAAATAACATTCGGACAACTGAAATGCTACTGCACACAATATTACGTTTGTTATTTGCTCAACAGTTGTACATTTTCTGGACAAGATTAGCCGGTTAGTCAAAATGTGTACTATTGAATAGTTTCTTTCAATTTGGAATGAATGCAACTAGGTCCCCGATAGTAATAACTACAATAATAATAATAATTCGTCCTGTACTTTTCGATTGCATCATAAGGCTTCAGAGACACATCTCTATTTCACTCAATTTTATGCCATCTCTTCCAACTGGCTCCGTGTCTGCCCACATATTTTCATTTCTTCTTCACATGATCTACGTATCACATTTGGACTACCAACCCGTCTTCTCCATTCATGTCCCTCTCAAGGGCGTAGTGTGATGTCACTTGAATATATCCTTAGTGTATTTTTAGTCTGCCTGCATTTCCTTATGCATATTCTTTGAGTAATAGGATAGGTTCTTGGCTAGTTCGCTGACAGCGTTGCATGGTGTTTATCATTTCTAGGCATCTGATGAGTATCGACGCACCTAAAGCAGGTGCTGATGAAGGTCTGCGGTCTGTTGGAAATGCTTACGGTGATACGAACGGCTAGTATCTGAACCATGTAGAAGCACTGGTTTCACATTAGTGTTAAAAATTCGGAGGTTGCTTATGCTAAGTGATGTGGATCTCTACACCGACGTCAGAATAAAGACGCCTATCTTGACTGACTGGCTAGCTTTGACATCCTTATTAGTGCAACCCGTAGTTGAAACGATGCTACCGAAGTGGTTAGTGAACGGGATGACTTCCTTTAGATTTCTCGCATTCATGGCGATTGTTGTTGGTTGGGTATTTCCATCATCTTCGTTTTCATTCGTTTCGCCGAGCGTCTCTTGACCCATGATAGGTTCTCCTCCTGAGTTGTCTACTCTCAGTTGGCTTGCATTCATATCGCCCATTAGGATTTTGATGTTGCCATTTGGGGCCTTATCCATTACTGCCTGCAGTTGTAGAAGTGTTCCTCCTCTTGACCTGCGTTGTGTGTGGGGTAATACCGTCGTAGATTTGTAACTTTTCTACCTTTCGAGCTGAATTTTGCTGTCATTATGCTGGAGAAGATTGGTCCGCACTTTATAAGAGCTTATGACACTGTTGGTGTTAACATGATAACCACACCCTCAAATGTGCTTGTGGTTGTCGTCTGGGTGACTGCAGTAAATTACTGGCTCTTAAGTTTTCAGTCCGGAGAGTCGTCTTTCATTCCAACTGCTCCCATAGGCTGCAGCACTTCTGTCTTATATCTTTTTCCGTCTGCAATCGTCGCAGCATTGTCAACCTCAAACGTGGTATGGAATTCCCATTTCCTTATTCTTACTTTTGCTTCCATCGGAAGGATATGCATCAGCCGACTGGCTTCATCAAAGTTTTCACCCTCCGAGAACGTTATATATCCTCAAACTGAGTTTTCTGGATTCCATTTTATTTCTTCTGCATTTTGAAGTTTCAGTAGCGGTAGGGTAGCTCAACCTTTCCGTATTTACCAGGCCCAGTACCGTCTAGTGAACTAGGCATTGTTTTACGGTTTATTAGTCACTAATGTTTTAAAATTAAATGGAAATATATCATAACTCAATTTTTAAATTATTGTAGGAACAGCATACTGCGCAAGCTACATCACTTACTCAAAAGGAAGTCTTCAGAACGCTGTGTTTGGTTGCATCAACGGTCTACACAGAGGACTCAAGGTAATTTTCCCGTAAAAGATTTTGTAGTTGGGGTATTAGTAGCATGGGTAGTGGTAGTATTATTGGAATTGAAATCGATTAGGGACGTTGTAAAGCTAAGTTATAAAACTTACTGGTTAATTGATGTCAGGACTTCAAAGTCTGAAACGATTGACAAACAACTCCGAAATTTAATTCTTCTCCATTCTTGCAACCAAAAGAAATCAGGTGAACAAGATGTGATCCACCAGATTATATCCTGCAGTTATTCAAGTGAGTATAGTGAAATGCAAATCTCCTATGATAACTAGTCACAAAAAGTGTCAACAAGAAATGTGGTTATCATCCATAAGCAATTCAAGAAGCATACTTCATTTTGAAGTAAAAGCCCTAGAGATGTCATAGGTTAAGATGATAAAAGGCACCACAACTAATCTGTTTAGTTCTAATCACACGACACACACATGAGTTATAAATCTCCATTATTTCAAAGCATTTTCCCTGGTGTCAGTGAAGTTTTTCTTTATCCTCGAAAAAAATAATATGTAATCGTGCGTATTCAATTTGTGAGATTATAGTGCAAATCGTGCATTCTACTAAAAAGCCTCCAAACGTGTAAATTTACTGCCTATATAATAGTCCTTGTTAGTTTTAGTTTTGTGCAATGTTATTTATATTTTTAAATGAATTGTCGCAAGTAGTAAAAAAGACAGAAGTCATTTCTTTAAAATATTATTACGATGAATGTGCCTTCTAGAAATTCGCACATTTCTGAACTGGGGTCGTTCATTCACATGCTTCAGGTGCTGAGTTATTCGTCATGTACGTTTACGGTTAGCTTTTTGTCGTTAAATCATCTCATCTATCATTTACAATTTATTCATATCTATGTGTAAAAGATACAATATGTATAGTTTGAAATTTTTAATAATTTTATTGTTGGCTGAGCCTAAAATTTAGCTGGCGGGATAGCCAAGGGAATATTTCTCGTGACTTATAAACTGGTCTTGAAGGCTTCGCTAGTAAATTTTAAGTGCTAGTGAGCAACAAGCGACGTCGAAATATGACAGAAATAGACAAATACTAGTGTGTTTTTCTTTTTTTTTATAGTCTCTTTTAATCATGTCTCAAAAGCGTTCCAGATTCTGAAAGTATTTCGTAGTCCAAATGGTTTATCGGGATTGATAGCATTCGGAGTGCGTGAAATTACTTCCAACTTAGAAGCTAAGATAGAAAATCAAGGTGAGGAGCGAAAGGATGAATCAAACTGCTTTGGTGTTCTGCTCTTACCTACCTCTGGCATCCCTTCAGGTATGGAGGCGGTATTTTCATCCACAACCAGAAACCCGTTTCTGGGTGACGGTTTAAAGTGTGGGGACTGTGTCTCCGTATTCGACCCATGGTAAGTCATCATTAGTCTGATTTTCCTGAAGACCATTTCAAAATATAAATTAAACTGGAAACTGTTTCCGTTATTTGTCAAATTAATCTTTTTCTTCGATGACAACATTACAAATAACAGTTTGGCTCTTCATCGTTGAGATGCGGTTTGTTGGTGTGTTCCAGTCTTTGAGTTTCGTGTTTAAATATCACCCCATTTACTCTGATATCATATTACCGTAAATCCTCAGATATAAGTTGTGCCTGTTAATTTATTACACGAACATGCGTCCTCTGTAAATTCTGTTCTTATAGTTGTTATCATTACAGTGGTTAAATATGAAATAGATACATTTTTATTCAGAATAAGATTGTAATTTTAAAACTAAGTCAGTTTCAATGCATAGAACTTAACGAACGACTTATGATATTTGTATGTCAGGTATGATGAGGTGAACGTAGGTATGAAAAGTGTAATTAATCTACTTCAATATGGTAGCGCATGTTTGTTAATTAGTTAGTTCAGAAATAGTATGTATAAAACGGAAGATCAATCTATATCAAGTGTAATATTCATCATTTAATTATCAATAGGCTAAGTGATGATATAATACTGGAGAGTAAGAATGGGATGATCAGTAAGTGAAATATATAGAAGGAGGGAACTATTTTCAGCCGTTTTTCTTACTACATATGTACAGTAGCGGTTATATACAGTTTCTTCATATGAATGCGCTTTATAAGTTTTCGTTTAACGAGCAAAAATTAATTACTGAGTTGTTCACAACAAGTTAGTTGCGTTAATTTGAATATGCAACGAGTGTAAAAAAATAGCGGTTTTGACAAATCCAAAATATTTGATCACTAACATAATGTTATATTAGTGTAATACTGGGTGTTATCCTATTGGTACTTGTGGGTTACATCATCGCACTTTAATGGTTGTTATTTCTGTCCTGCATTAGTAGACTGAATATACTACATTTTAATGGGGATACCGTTGGCTTCTTTTTTAGCTGTTTATTTGTCACGTGAATTATCGTTCTCCATTATTTCTTTAGGTCGACATATCATTCTCATGAATTTGATAATTTACCTGTGATGCATTCTTTTTTCTGGGTCGAACGGATAAAATCGGAAGCTCTGGTCGGTAATAATTTCCCTGATTTTCACACAAACTTCATGAAGCCTCAGCTAATAACATGTCCGTGTTTATCCTCATGTGAGTTGCCTATTTCTCTGAAGTTTTTACACTGGTGCTTTTACCCGTCTAGGGATTACTGGATAAGCATAAATGCATAGTATAAGCACAATAAACTTAAGGTGTTGAATGCCTGTCTCCTTTTCTGTTGAAGTTTACCTTTAAATATTTGTGAGAAGTCTCATTTACACATCTAGTATTAGGTTTATCATACTTATAGTTTCGATTACTGTCTACTTTGTACTCTTTCCTACTGCTCATTTGTGAGGAGGAGTGTTGGCGCAAGTTCTTGGCAATAATGAAACAGTATTCTGTCTTTGTACGGTACAAATCAAACAACACTTATGGATACCGATTTGAATGGTCTGTATGCTATCGGATGGTTAGACGATTTTGTATGCGTGGTGAAGGTCCAATAGTCGTCCAGCATTAGCAGATCTACACTACCAGACACATCTTTTAGATATCTCCAGAATTTCGTTGATATGTGAAAGAGGGAAGGTAAGATTAAGTGACCCTGTCTAACCTCACTGCTGGTTGAGAGTAGTTGGTTGTATGCCCTTTGTCTACTTGAGTTGCTTTTGTTAAGAGGATTTGCGATGTTGACAAACATTTCATGAATATTTTTGTAACAGAGAATCCTAAGTAATATTTCAGTTTGAGGAATAAAAGACAACAACAATACCAAGAAACTTTAAGGTTTTTGGTGTGCAATACTTGTGACGGATGGACATGTGGTCGGCGCATTCACGATCGGGACGAAATTCAGTATACTCTTTACAAATTAATTTTCCATGCGTTCTAGAGTTTTTGGTGCTTAAAAGCAGCCAGTATTTTTGATATGCCGGGTAACAGACTAATACCCCAGTGATTATCAAAAGTATCATATAGCCTCTCTTTAAAGCGAAGCATCGTTTTACATTAACGAGACATCCATTCTCCCTTATCTTTCCTAATAGTCTAGTCAGGGAACTCACTAGAGTCTTGTTACCATCTTTAAAAAAACTGGAATCAATTGTCTAGACTGGAGTACTCGTAATTCCTTCCGGACCTCCCTTTCCATCTTAGCCAACCGTACAGCTTCGCGATTGCAACTGTAGAATATTGTTGTTGAGTCAGCTACTCTGTTTTTCAAAATACTCTGCCCAGTGTTCCAGGTGCCTTTACGACCTGTTAGTCAGTGTGTTAATTTCTTCACAGACCGGTTCAGTGGGCAGATACAGATGTAAAGTTATTTTACAGTCTGCTATTTATACCTACCTCGCAATGACATTAACTATACTGCCGTTATTTACTTTGTGTGAATTGATGTGCGCATGTTTTAATTAGTATATCTTCTCAGTTTTATATGCTTTGAACTACTATCTCCGTATTTTGTTTTATACTTTTTACAGGCGATCCACATACTGTACTCAACTGTCCCAATCGTTTTAGAGTGAGTTATTTAGGACTTTATCAATCAGTCATGTGTTAAATTTTTATGTACCTCTGATTATGTACCTATTTCATAGTTTATACTGGAGTTTTGTCAAACTCTTTCATAACCAACTTTGCTAATTCACTATGTTCAATATCTTGCGGTTGTTTGTGGTTTATTACTATTTTAGTACGCATTAACCATTCATTCATTTGGGACTCTTTGTACATCTTTTTTCAGCATGTAACTGTTTTGCTTATTCTCAGGAAGACATTATATGAAATTTTAAAGGTAGTATCTCTGTTGCATGTGGATAAGATAGTTTAGGATAGTTATAAAAATGCCTTTCAATGAAGTATACTAATTATCATATTGATAGTAGTCTCTGTATTCGCAATAAAATTTCTAGTCGATTATAACAGCTGCAGGAAGAATCCCAATGTAAAAGTAATGTCAAGCGTGAAAGTGGAGATTCTTTTACATTTACAAATCTGAATAATTAATCATTTTCTTGAGCTTTCTTTTCCTTATAGTATACAAATTGAATTTTCATATGTACTTTTACATACACTGTTTTATATATTTACTCTTTGTGTCGTGTATGAAGACAGGGAAACAGTTAGGTTTGTTCTACCTCAGTATTCCAGACTTATATTATCCATCATTATTGTCTGTAATTCTCGGAGAAAATAAGACGTGGGAAATTTAATTTAAGAATTCACACTTCATTAAATTTGGTTATAAATAATTTATTACAAGTTGTTAACAATTCAGCTTGTTTGAAATCAAAATTGAAAATGTTATATTTTCATTCTGTTCTAAAATAAGCTCTTCTCAAGGACATCTTAGACATCTAGCAAAAATGACACGCAACCGCTAAACTTTAAATTGCTGCGAAAAATTTATGTTCATATGACGCAGGAGTTTTATAATTTCAAGCTTCTACTACTCAAAGCTATATTGTAAAGTAATTTGATTCTTTTGTATATTTCCCTTCTCATGAGCACACTACTTAATAATTTTTAAGGCAGCATGATTGCATTTTCAAAATTTTTTTCCTTTTCAGGGATTATTAAAACGAAATCTGTTAGTTATTTCAGAATTTGAAGACTCTTCTCAGGATGTATCCGCAACACTTTTCGACAGAAAATGCTGTTTAGTCCTTGGTTGTCATCGGTTTTGGCTTCTAAACAAGTTAAGGTATGATTTCTAAGATGAATTCATTAAATGAACTGTTGTAACATGAAATTTAAGTACCTCTTTTTCTCTAACGATTTATTTCTGTTCATAATCTGCTACTAATAGTATATTCATAGAACACGATAGAGAAATAGTTCATACTTGAAAGCGTTCATAATCTCATTCAAAGAAAATGTGGTTAGGGATAGTTGGAAATAAACTGAGGTCAAACTAAAACGCATTGAATAAGTGCTTTCATAGAAAATGTAAAAATAGTCTTCAAAAGTGTTGGATAAACAAAATATAAGACATGGCTCAAAGAAGGTTAGAAGAATAATTCAGGTATCATAAAATAAAAGAAGGTACTGGTATATTCAATTTAATGATTTCCATCAGTATATGTTTTGGATTTTGGTTGTAGGTATTAAAATACTACTCAAAGTAACTGATTAATTCTTAGGGTAGAATTTTGCACAAAACTGCAGTTCAAGTTGGCACACTTCATAAATACACAGATGTAGAGGGAAATAAATACAAGGGATCTACAATGAACCATAATGTACTGGAGCTAGAATAAACAAATGGAAGGTAATGCGAATTTCCGGGATCCGGAAATGGACAAAGAGTGAATGGATCTGCGCCATTGAGAAAGATTCTGAACCATGTCACCACAAGTTTCCAGCCATTTGTTCTTATCCTCTCTAGGACTCTAGTCGAAGACGCTGACGAAATGCAGAGTCTTCTGAACACCTTGAGCTGTAATCTACGAATGTTTGGCATGCGATTCGCTCCCGCCAAATGTAAGATGATGTTACAAGACTGGGCTACATCGACGCCTTGTTTAAAAATAGGAAGTGAAGTGGTAGAGCACGTTGACCGCTTCACTTATTTGGGGAGTACCATCAGCCAGTACCAATGGGTTGATCTCTGACGAAATCTCAGCACGAATACAGGGGGCTCGTTTCGCAATTGCCAGTTTACGCCGACTCTGGCGCAGACGAGATGTTCGACTATCGACCAAAGGGCGGGTGTACTGCTCATCAGTCCGCTCCGTCCTCCTTTATGGTTGTGAGACCTGGCCACTGAGAGTGGAAGACATGAAAACACTAGCTGTCTTTGATCATAGGTGCCTGCGCTCTATTTCCCGTGTGAAGTGGCATAATAAGGTGAGCAACATGGAGGTTAGGCGTAGAGTTCTAGGTAAACAGGGGAAATCAATCGACGAAGTCGTGAAGCTACATCGACTGAGATGGTTAGGACATGTGTTACGTATGCCAAGTCATCGCCTCCCTCGACGAGCTATGTTAGCGGATATAGGGTCAGGCTGGAAAAAAGCTAGCGGCGGTCAAACAAAAACTTGGCTTCACCAGTCAATGAAATCCACAACAGTTGGTCTAAGCCAGTCACGTAGAAAGGTGTAGACTTCCAGGCTGGGGTCCTCGGGACGGTAAAAATCTATGGTTGGAAACAATTGCTGATATGGCTCAAAACCGTTCTCAGTGGCGCAGATGCATCCACTCCTTGTGATTTATGATCTCCAATGAAACTGTTTTGTTTTTCTTTATTACTCCTTTGTCTCACACTTCTGCTCACTGTTTCTATTATGCTTTTCTTGTACTTTCTTCTCTTGCTTCGCGTGCTACACGGAGTGTGGCGACTTGAACTTCCGCACATTTGTGTATAGTTCTATGTCGAAAACAGACAGATAGACAGGACTCTAGTCAGACAGTCTACACCTTACGTGGCTCAGGTAAACAGTCGAAGGATTCATGAAATAATATCAGCCTTTGATTTGACCACCCGAATTCTCTACCAATCTAATCCGATTTCAGCTAGCACCACTTGATGAGAAGGAAGATCTCTGAACATGTGTAAGATTTTTCTCAGCCATCTCAATCTGATTAGCTTAGTAACGTCGCCAGTCAACTTTAATTGCTTCCTTAACACTCTACGCATTAGTTGAATATTACTAACTGTATTTTACTGTGCAACACGAGGAACAGAACAAAAAGATCTGTGGCCAAAGACAGCTAGTCTCTTCATATCTTCCAATTTCAGCGGCCATGTGTTACTGACATAAAGGAGGACGCAGCGAAGTGCTGTGCAGTGCACACGTCCTTTGGTCGATAATTGGATATCACATCTACACCAGAGATGACATAGGTTGGTAAATGCCAGGCGAGCCTTTTATATCTGTGTTGCGATTTCGTCTGAAATCAGTCTGTTATCAGTTAGTCAGCTTCCCAAATAAATAAAGTACTCAACATTCCCAACTACTTCACTTCCTTTATTCAAATTGGGAGTTGGTGCAGACCAGTTTTGCAGCATCGTTTTACATCTGACAGGGATGGATCAGATGCCAAACATTCAAAGATTTCTTCTGTGTTTAGAAAAACGATGTCAACTCCAAACTGTAAGCCGACCAAACTGTACCCTGGCAAAAAGTCAATTCCTAAGTCGCTAAAGTCGATTAGAGTGACATATATGGGCAGTTGAAATAAAAATTCAGATAATTACGCCTGTGTTGGAGAATCTGTAGAAAGTTAAAGGTATTATCAAACGCCATCTTCCGGGTCTACAGCCTATTCGTTTTTTACCTGTTTGTTTCTCCCTAGAGGCGCTTAGTCTATACAAGATTATGGAACCTGGGATTTTAGATGCTATATTAATCAGTCTGGCGCCTCCAGAATTCCTTTTTACAAAATTGGATAACTAATGACTTGTACCGGTTCAGTGTGGCTATCTCAGATTCCCAGGCACTACTTAACAAACAACAGACCATCATCACCATCCTTAAACACATCTGGAGTAACACCATCAGGTCCCGCTGCCTTGCCATGTTTTTTAGTTAGAGACAATTTTTGGAACTCGATTTAAAGTTGCAAGACTCATGTCTACATCCAACCCAGGTAGGTGTTGGATGCTGAACAACTTCAGCGTGGCTGTAGGCCAGTCGAAGTGCTCTACATAGTGTTCCCTCCAGCATTCTTGTTGCCCATCTTGGAAAGTAATGAAAATACTGTTCTCCAAGGTCGTTTTGCTTTCCGTTGGCTTTTTGCATCCTGTTTCCATACTAAGTAAATACTTGTCTGGTATTACCTGGCACCGATGCCTTTCCCATATCTTTGAATTTGTCGCCTGTGGTCGTTGCGAGGGCTTTTACTTAGCTTAAATCCGATCAGTTTCAGCTCCTCGTCACGTTTGGAGCCTGCCGAAGTCAGTTTTCCCGTGTCTAACGGTTCGGACAAGGCGGTGAAAATCCACTGGCATTTGCTAGACCTTGGTTCCAGGTTCTCAACAAGTTTCTACAGCTAACTGGATACTATTCTAGGCTTCCTCGGGATGGGTGTTACTTCCAATCTCAGATGCGCGTTTAACCACTTCTTCTCCGAATAAAAAACGTTGTTCTTATCAAGTTGGGGGCTTGTTGACTTCTTAACTGTCTGCTTTGTATATCCGTTTAGTCATAGGCATACATCTTTCTTCAAGTCTATCTCGAGTGACTTAGATTGAGAGTCCGGGTTCTTATGAATGACTGTTAAATTTTACTCTGATTTACATTACTTTTAAAAAGGGATGGCAGTTTGTCCTGTGCAATAGAAAATAAATACTTCAGCGAACGCCTTGGAAACGGTTATTTTTGGGATTTCATTTCTCTTAAAATATAGCGACAAAGTACCTTCATAATTTTAAAGGCTTTGTTACATTATTTTTCGCACATATATTAACAGCTGGAAATGAATAAATATGTAAATGTAACTACAAAAACAAGTTTACATATCCTTTTAGATATATTTTGTTAGTTTGGCATTTTGGTGGATATCCTGGATTAATTCTTTTGCCAAATCGCGAAGATTTTACCGGAAATTTTGAAAAATGTGATATTACTTATCAGGATTTCAGGTTTGGATACGTATATTCAACCGAAGCGCTGTTACAACTGCCTAGTGAACAGTTGCCAGAAGTGTAAGTGTCAGTGATTGTTCACAAGTAATTTAGTAAATATTGTCTCATTTTGAATTAGATACTATTTCAATTATCTTAGCCCTTATTTCCTGAATATCAATTATTATTATTATTATTTATAATTTTTTCTTTTATGTTGCCAGTGTAACATAGGGCTTCAAGCTAGAGCTGTGAAGCTTCGGTAGCAATGGTGTGTATTTTCACGGGGTAAAGTTGCTAACATCATGCCCAACCTTCCCTCTTTATCGGTCTTATTACCGGCTTAGCGAAGTAAAGGAGTGCGTAGGCCGGGGATCGAACCCCGGACCACATGCGTGGTTGTCTTAGTAGACAAAGATAAATTGTTTTGTGAACAAACCGGTGACCTGACTTTGACCTGATGGGTCATGGGTTTCAATCCTTCCCCACCTAATTTAGCCTAGACGGCATCATCAGCCGTCACACGAAAAGTGTGGCTGTAAGCCTGGCACATGATTAATCCCTTCTGGACAAGTTAGTTTAAACAAACATACTGTCATTGAATGTATGAGGAAATTAGAATTAGAAGCATCTAGACTACTGAATAAACTTGTGTCAGTACCCTTAAAGTTGGAGGATTACTTGGTCTTGTTGAAAAGGTGGTTTCTAGTGGCTAATAGCATTTTTAAAAAGTAAGTACGATCTATCTAAGGCTGTATCAAAACTAATTAGATTGGATATCTTTTATTTATACGACTTCCTTTTATCGCTTTTTATTATTCAATCATTAATTTCTCATCCCTAACTTAATTTAGAATGTGATTAATTGTCTATGTGCTTCAGAAATTATCTTTAACTTAACAACAGTAGTTTTGTGAAAAGTTAAAGGTTTTATTTTCCATAACTTCAGTGTACACAAGGAAATAATTAATCGTCTTAATGAAATCGAAAATTACCTGGATAAGAAATCTGCCAACAATGTAAGTCTTTTGAATCACTTTTATAGTTTTTGATAGTTAGGAATGGTTTTAATAATTTTTTGTTGGGACCTCTTTTACAACCATCCACAAATAACTTTCTTCTACAGTGCGTTTTATTAAGTAGATAATATTCAGTATCGTTAGATGTGATAGCAACTCATGAATTTTCCAGCGTTCCATCTAGTAACTATGGAAAAGTGTAGCTTGATATATTTGTAAAACTTGGGCACTGCGGTAGTATTTAATTCAATGTTAGTTTGTTTATTATATATATGTTACATAGTGAAACAGTATTATTTACTGGATGACGTTTCGAACACAATTTATTGTTCATAATCATACCAACTCTAACTGCAAAACTATAAAACCCTTCTTCTTATAGTCTTTTTATAGGGAAGAATAGAAAAAACTATAAAACGAAAGTTTCGAAGCTGTATGGTTATAAGTGATACGCTTATGAGCAGTAAATTGTGTTCGAAAGTCATCCAGTAAATAATACTTTCTCACTGTGTGATATATCTAAAAAGCAAATTAATGTAGAGATGTATAGATATTTTGGATAAAGTTCACAAAATAACTGGAGTTAGAAACTGGAGACTACTAGTTAAACAATCTGATGTCTCTATATTTAGGGGCCAGAGTTACAGTCTGTCGTCCATCAACGAGAAACAACTTCCTGTGCTATCTGCTTAACATCAGATAATGGTGGAATGCTGTCTTTGGAATGCATTGAATGCCTTTAGTAAAACCAACCTTTACTTACACCATCTCTGGCGTAGGCGTTACATCCGGTTATCAACCAAGGGACGTGTGTACTGCTCATCAGTTCGCTCCGTCCTTGTCTATGGCTCTGAAACATGGCCAATACGCGTTGAAGACATGAAAAGGTTGACTGCTTTCGATCATAGATGTCTGCGATCTCTGTCTCACGTTAGGTGGTTTAATAAGGTAAGTAATGTTGACGTTAGGCGTAGAGTGTTGGGCAAAGAGGGAAAATCAATCGACGAGGTTATAAAGTTACATAGATTGAGATGGCTAGGTCACGTGCTGCGCATGCCTAACCACCGCCTCCCCCGACGGGCATTGCTAGCTGATATAGGTTCAGGTTGGAAAAGAGCCAGTGGTGGCCAAACAAAAACATGGCCTCATCAATCCATGAAATCCTTGACAGTTAAACTGAGTCAGGTAGGGAGATGCAGACTTCCGGGTTGGGGCCCTCGGGACTCTAGGAATCAATGGCTGGAGACAATAGGTGACATGGCTCAAAACCGTTGTCAATGGCCAGCGCAGATGTATTCAGTCTCTGTAATCTTTCATATTCCTTTCTACCATTACCCATTCTGTTTCACTCTTATACTTGTCAGACTGTATTGATTCTCTCCACTCATCTTCTTGTCTACCTCTGTGTGCTATTTGGAAGGTGGCAACTCGAACTGCTGCACTTCGGTGCCAAGTTCTATGTTGAATCCAGACAGACAGACAGACTTCTTTCTACCTTGATAATTCAGTTATTTATTGAGTTGAGATTAGAAACAGGTATGAAAGGCTTACCCTTACTAATAACTTCGGCCAAACATACAAACCGCTGTCTACTGGGATTCATTCCTGTGAGAGGTTTTCAGCTTCGCAACCTGATGGTATACGAGTTATTGATAGGATGACTAAACACATGTCGGATACATTTCTTAGATTTGAAACACTGTCCAAGTGAAATCAAGTGATTTCAAATTCGATCATGAATTGACTTAATTTAGGGGACCACTAGAGGCCATGGGGTACCGTACAGCCGTTTAGTCCTATCTTGGAACTCTTCATCAGTACGTAACCATGACCCCACCAGGAATCGAACCCATAACCTTCAGGTTTCAGGGCGAATTCGTATTCCACTTAGCCACTGGGACAGAATCCTACGGCACATCAATTCTAACTTCTACCAGTTATCATCACCACCAGCCAATGTCATTGATGAGTATCTGTCCGCACGCCCGACTTGTTGGACACCGCTGATCACGACTTCCCACCACCCACTACCAATCAAATCCCTGCAGACCAACACTTGAGAACTAGTCTAGTGCTTACAAGTGACTCAATACAAGATGAGGTTGCTTAAAGTCCTAGTCCTATTTTTTGGTATATAGAGTGAAAATATAATTGCAAGGCATGCCTAAAGTGTGTACACGAAAAGTTTCTGTTAATTACGGAAACAAAGTAAGCTTCAGTACACAAGTTTGTTAGTACTTTGTGTTATCTTACTCGCTTATTTTCTATGAAGTGAGTACACTATGAGCACCAACTGACCGATGTTTTCCTCGTTCTAGCAATCTATAAAGGCACTTGATTATTCAGATACCATTCAGAGAATAATTTTGTAAACTATCAAACATATAATTTATATCCAAACTACATATTGAAGTGTTTTGTAGCTGTTTGATTCTCTATAATTTATTATTTTTCAAGTTACTGTACAATTTCAACGTCTCAAGTATGTCACTTTTTTCTCTCGTTAATTTTCAGTTAAAGAGCTTCATTCGTGGTTCTACAGCACACAACAATGACATTACTGATGGATTATTTTTTGGAAGTACTGAATGTAATATAAATTTTTGGGAAGCTCGTGCATCTCATTTCAGCTTAATAGAATCTAATTACATCAATCTGAACTTGTCCATTTCATACAAAGTATGTGTCTATCATACCTGCACTATACATATCTGTAAATTTCTATTCTCAAAATCAGTAGGAAGCATGTTGGGAAACAGTGTTGTTTTTACTTTAATCCTCTTATGACTTAAGTCTAATATGCATAGCCTTAGATAATCGAGTAGAACTTTATATTGTGGTTGAATTTAGTTTCATAAAAAGAATATTGTTTGGTATGACACAGTGATAAGACATTGTTCATTTATTGATAGTGTATCGAGCACAGTTCACTGCTAACAGTCATACAAATGCATATAAGTTTCAGATTTTGTTCATATGACCCTATTATTTTTCATCCTTTAATTATTTCAGTAATAATATTTTCCATATTTCTGATGCTGCTGTTGTATCATTTCTACTGCAGGCGTTCAGTTTACATTCCATGAACAAAGAATCAGCTATCAAACTCTCCATCTGCTGAACTATATTACTTTTTAAAACTGTAGCGCTGCTCCCTCTTGTTGTGTGCATTGAAATAACTAAGGTTTTTCTAAGTCATTTTTAGAGTCTATCACTGTAAACTTAACCGAATTCGTATGTCCTAATGATCTAACTTCAACCTGCAGGTTTTGCTTACGTACTTGACCTCACCGTCAGAGCAAGGTATTTGGTAGATTAGGTAGGTTATTTTGTTCAATAAAATTCTTTGGCCGAAACCTTACTCAGGATTCTCTATAGAACTGAGATTAGGGTGAGATTCAAACCTACAAATGTACTCAGATACAAATTCTGAAGGTGAGAAGATTCCATTCACCTGCTTGAACGAAGTAATTCTAATATTCATTTCTTCTACTTTCTTCTCTTACTTTGTGTGCTACATGGAGTGTGGCGACTCGAACTGCCGCACATATGTGCAAAGTTCTATGTCGAAAACAGACAGACAGACTCGCAATGTGGTCCTTCTGAACGCCCGTAACAGTAGTTAGAGCCGTCTTGACTCTTAGTGGACATACGGATGTCTCGACTTCATTACAAGTGGCACAGTTTTGCAAAAGACAAACAAATCTTATACAATCAGTGTTTGTCCTTTTTTCTCTCAGAACTTTCTCGTATTTACCAATTTCAGTAATACTGACATTTTATACAATTAATTCCTTTGAGAAAATTGAACAAAGCAAAAAGAACACAGAAGTGATCATTATATTTCATTAGTTCTTGTCAGATACATACAACCATGATCAATCTAATAGCAATGTACAAAATATTCGAATACTTTAGTTATTAAGCACAAATGTGGTGAATATAAGAATCACGTGATTAAGGAGTATAGGGGTAATAGTCGTTATGATGCTCTTTAGTATGAATTATTTTTTATTTAGTTCCTTTGCGTTCCTAGTGGAGCATAGGGCTTCAAGCTTAAGCTTTAAAGTTTCAATAGCGGTGGTATTGTCTCCTACTGGGTGAGGTCACTATCCTCACGCTCAACCTTCCCTCTTTATCGGGCTTACTACTGGCTAAGCGAGGTTTCAGAGTATGTCGCCCGAGAACCTTGACCACGGGCACGATTGGTACGCATTCCACTACTAAACCACCGATGCACTGTTGGTATGCATAGAATATTCTAGGAATATTCTAGAATTACGAACTAATCTTATAGGTTGAATAAGGGTGTAAAATCAACAGTACACCCATGGAAGGATCAAGTAATTTAGTCGAATAGAGCTCAAAAAGGGGTCTAGTCAAGAATAGAGAGACAAAGAAAAAATTAGGATAAGAAGTTACAGTATCAAAACAAAATAGAAATAAAATAGAAAAATATGACAGTTTAAGAAACAATTAAATAGTGTAAAGCATATTTCTCTGTGTAAGACAAGATTAACAATAGTTTTCTTCTGGATGCGTAAATTCGATTTTAATCGTTTATTGATAAGTGTTTCAATGATACGTATCATGTCTTGAACTTTAATTGTCCGAAGGAATTTCTGTGCATTGATTTCATGACTGCAGTCTAACAGGTGGCGAGAAGTCGCACTACTAAGGACTTATGCGCCTTTCAGATATGCGGCCACAGATCGTTCTTTTTGTTCGTCGCATGTATGTGCTTTGGCATGTAAATGTAGATTGGTATGTACAGTTGGAGGTAACCTTAGACTGTTGCAGTGAGCAATTTATTCGGCAAATTGCGAATAACCTGGTAGCTAGTTAAAGGTGTTTTAAGGTCTACGAATCTCATGCACTCGTTGTTTGTCCGTTTTCTTCTCTCGAAAAACGTTCTAGTGTTTATTAGTTTCAAAAATACCGACATTTCCGGGTGGCGGTCTATATTTCAAACTTTAGCATTTGATACGTTTCTTGTACATGAATAATTTTGGGTTCCTGTATGTCTAACGTAACTATTCTGGATGTGTCCTATTTTTTGACACTTCATTATGGCCCGTTGCTTTTTTTTTAAGAACTACTAAAAATGTATTTATTCTTTGATTTTCAGATTAACCTTGCTGACTGTACACGGTGTTCCATAAGTGGTTCTCTGCTAATTGAGGTATTCAGTTTTTTACTGCAATGTTTACTACACAACGTATTGATAAGGTCATGACTTCACTGGGTTAATTATTATGTTTTGATTTGTACAGTCACAGCCCGTTTATAAATATTGTCAAATATATTGACCATATGATATTGGAGCATATTCGACTGTTGAAGACCATTCAAAGTAGGGTATTATGCAGTGAGGCTATGAAGCATACCATACAGTTTTGTTGTGCCTTCGCTTATATGATTTTAGATGTTGGGAGAGTAAGATGAAGTCTGATTTGATTTAGAAAAACAGTGGACAGTGTTAACATGATTCCAAATGCAAAATATTCGTTTTTGCCGTACTCTTAATTAAAGGTAACCAGGGGAAAATCCATTAGATTGAAGGAACTTATTACAACTAAAGCCTACAGTTAAAATCCCACACCAAGAATATAAGAATAACCACTGAGAAAATGGTAAAGTAGGCGAAACGATAAAGGAACAAAAATAAGGAAAATTAACTTCACTAAATAACATTCTTATTAGTAGTATTAGTTTATAGTTTTTAGACGCTAGGCGTTTCTAATAGCTGTGGTGGAATTATACCAGTGGAAAACGAAATAATGCCAAATTGAAGATTTTGGTTTCAGCTATATAGTTAGCTTCAAGTTTTATTTTACCAGTTTGTACACAAACTTGGACTTGTAAGTGTATTGATCACTTATTTAGCCTATAAGGACACCATTTTACTTCTTTGAAGTGTGGTAGTCAGCTGACAATTGCATACTGGATTTGAGTTTTTATGCCTATTTCACACAAGAGAGGAAACAAGTGTCGATTTTTTAAATATACTTGTAAAACTGGGCGAAATGAATTACTGAAAAGTTAACTGCAATATCTTAGGCACTAATCATTAACTGCTTGGAGTGATATAGTTCATTAAAAGTAGAAATTTATTCAGGTACCTGAAGTAAATCTGGCTATACTGTTGATATAGTTGAAACCAAATAAACTAAACTACTGTACAGTATTTAAATCTACTCTATCTTCCTAGGAAACATTGTTTGTTGATATGAGTCAGTCTGCTTTTTATATCAATTAGTAGTGCATATCGTGTCTCATTGGTTCTAAGATAACTATTGGAGGTGGTGGACAAGAATCACTTGCTCACAGCTGGTGCCATTCTCGTTTCATGTCATGGTGTAGGGTAGAAACATTTTGTTGTCTAATCGACACATTTGTTTCAGTAGTGTGGTAGTATTTTGTCACCTTCAAGTGATATAAAATGCTTTTGCAACGAACTATAAAATTGTGCTATTGGATAAGCAGTTCTCTGAAAATCATAGTTCGAATTTTAATTCCTTAATTACTTCTTAAAGTTTCTTTCTTTAACCCATTAACTGTTATACTATTTTTAACTTTTTAGCCTCCAGAAGGTTCTTTATCTAAAGATATTATTTTGGATTGCTTTAACACTGAATGTAAAAAACTACAATTATCTTCAAAGCATAATATGATACTTGAAGAATGTCTTGCCGATATTCAGAAAGTTGCACGCGTATTCTATTTATGGCTTTCTGAATCTATTACACCTGTATTACTTCCATGCATTTGTCTAGTTGACATTGTTTCCCCTATGGAATTGATATATGAAAAGATGTTTACTATGTCTGCAGTAGTACATCAATCTTCTGGCTTTGGTGTTTATATGAGTATTGATCAAGCTATAGTTTTTGGCAGTAAGTTAATGTGAATTAATTTATTGAATGGATAATCCCCATCCAGGCATTAACGAAAACAAAACACTTAGTTCAGCGAAGAGTCTCTTTACGGCGAATTCATTTTCTTAGCCCTACAATCGCAAATAGATATGAGTTATTTTGTATGCATGTCTACATTAAGTTTGTCAAACAAAATACAATCGTTTATGGTTATTTTAACTAAACAGGTGATAATTAGTAAGTTTTGGATGGAGTTACATAATACAAAAGCGGTCAAGAAAATTGGGTGTTAATTAAACAAAGGTGATGAGTTGTCACAAACAGTTGTTAGAAAGGATTTAAGCAATGATATGAGTAGTTTGATGATTGAGTTATACACAAAAACAAAGTAGAGAATACGATATTACGTTTTTTTCTTCACGTTTCCCAGTGGAACATAGGGCTTCAAGATAGTGGCTCGAAGTTTATGTAGCAGTGTTTATTTTAATAGGATGGGGTTGCTAGCCTCATGCCCAACCTTTCCTCTTCACCAGCATTATTCCTGGCTTAGCGAGGTAAAGGAGTGCGTCGGCCGGGGATCGAGCTCCGGACCATGTGCATGGTCGGCGAGCGTCCTAACCGCTATGCCACCGACGAAATTACGTAAGAGCTCTAAATGAATCGAAGAACGTGAGTAACGTAATTTATTTAGGAATGTAAGTGGGTAACTGAAAAGGATAACAATGAGTACATGTACGAAAATTTTTTATTGTTATTATGTATTATGAATTCAAGAAAATGCGTATTTTCACTTATTAATTATGGAAGTATGTTTAATCCAGTACGTAAAGTCGTACCGCCTATATGCTGTGAGTTATTTTTTTAAAACATTAAAATGCCTTGTAACTACTAGTGGTACCAACTGCTTTATTTCGTAAATCCTATATTCCTTTCGATGAGACAAATTTTTCCGACTGTATAGTCAATTTCTGTGTGTTCTTTGTAGGTTTCATTGTTCTGGATCGTTTCGCTTCACTTACGATTGAAGACTACACTCAACATGTACTAAAACATAGCTTAAGAAGTTCCCTTTGCAAACAAATTTATACCCATTCAATTATTTTACAGTCGTCAAAAGATCTAAACACGTTACGTGTCCATCAAATGGTTTTTTTCTCTGGTATGTTTTTGGGTGTTTGTGTTTCATTGAGTTTGTATTTGTGTCACTGATTTCTTAGTATTCATTTTTAACTATTTTCATCTAATATTCAAATTACATGAAATAGGATATGCCTGTTTTAAATAACTACTACTAGCTTTTAATATTTAACTTGAACAGTATAAGGTTCATGCAATTAGTTGTTAGCTTCATCTGTTATGAAAATGCTCAATTCATAAAACATCGGAACTCTTTCTACACTACTGGTAAACTCATCTTTTCACTCAGAACATTGCCAATGTCAAGATTTCTTCACAATTTTACAGGTTCAAGAGTGGTATAATCCTATCCATAGTAGGTCTCTCTTGATTAAGGTCAATATCAGTTAAGGCGTTAGTGGATACTATTCATTACTTATTTGAGATTATTTAGAATTCCATTTTGGGAACTCTAATAAACCTGAAATTATTGAAACAACAAAATATCCACTTGTAGTTTTTTTCCTAAGTAACCCACTGTTTTACACAAGATTAATGCGTACATAATGGGTGTTTTATAAAATTTCCACCTTTTTTAATGGATTATTCTGACTGTTTCATGCAAACATAACAGGAATATCGTTCGCCTCTAAACGTCTATCGTTCCTAAAACATTTCCTTAAAATTATCATGTAAATTTATGTAAACTTATGTTTTTTTTTCACACTTTTCGCACTTCCTGTCAATTGATCAATTTTTATGCCTCTTATGAGTTTCAGATTTTGTCATTTGTAAAGATTTGGATTAGTTTATTTGATTTTGATTAACCTTGTGTCTCTTTTTCTTTTTGTTTTGACTAAACGTCTCTTTTGCCTTCCGGCGATGCGGAGACTATCGTTCTTGGGAATCTGCTCTCACTCTTTCATTAATAATATCAGGACTTTGCTACAGGGTTACGTGTAATTGTGCGAAATGATGCACGCCTCACGCGTTGTTTAACTGTGTCGCATCACTGATCGTCAAACAAAGTTTTTATACGCCTGGTTTGCTTGATTACTTTGAACCAAGGATGAATAAAGATAATTATAAAATAAAAAGAGGTCATTTCACTGCCTCATTCGCATAAAATTGTAAAAAACCACATGAATGATTACAGATAAGTGTAAATAACACAACTTCAAAATTATTTCATTAAGAAGAGCTTTTTATAATTCTTGACATGGTATTTGAATTGGAAACATGAACACCAGATATTTAATTGAAATAATCATACTACCAGAGTTTTTTTATATGATAGAAATTTCGAAAAAGAAAGAAGGAGAGGAAAGAGTTGAAATGCTTAAGTTAATGATCATGTAGGCAAACAAGTAAATTAAAAGTCTTAATTAGTTGAACCGAGCGAGTGAGTATCAAAATCGGGTAGAGGTTATGAAGCAACAGAAAATACATACAATTACTAGGTTATTGGGTTAATATTTACACTGTTTTTCTGTTCACAGAGATTGGAGTGACGTTCGATACTAGTGGCTTTTTCAAAACAAAGTAATTAAGGTTCTCTCTTTTTATTAATTGTCATTAGGGTTATGAATATGTCGACAGAAACCAGGCCTCAAGGTGAATACACTGGAACTTGAAAATTAGCATTTTCTCCCACGAAGATAAAGTATTTTGGACTTTTGACATATAATTTCTAATGTCTGCTCTATCAATTCGCTCTTCAACAATGACACTAGTCAGAATGGAATGTTTAAACGATCTAGTTTGCGAATAAATTACAGTTAATCTTTGGAACTATGGACTGCCAAATTTCTTCTAATTTGTCCAGTTGCTATCACTACCATCGGATCAGTTTTGTCATGGTGGTTTCACCATGCATGTTTGATTTATAAGCTTTAAATAAGCCGTACACAATCGGTCTCGAGGTCATTATAATTAAGCCTTTCGTATGGAGTTTCTTAAGATGCTTTTGCATTCTATCTTATAATGCTGTTGTTGCATGATTTTTCGACCAATGTACTTGTAGTCTCATCGTATGAGTCAGAAGAATTTACATTGTATAAATGTAATGATGCTATTCCTTTATTACGAGAACAGAACCTTTTTCTGATTCGGTCTAATAAACAAACCTGATATAAGAGGACACACAATCGGGTCATACTCGTAAATGTTATATTCAATGATTCTTGTTACTCATAGTTGAACTGTACAGTATTATGTATGTGAATAGTATTCGTGAACATTTGTAAGTACTGGTGCTGCTGTTTACTTCTAGATTTTGAATGATACACCTCAAATGTTGTCATGTACAGTCCGTGTAAGTTTTCATACATCTGTGGCAGTAAAAACGATAAATCTAGGGCTTTGTATTCAGTAAGATGGAGAATAATTACGCTTCCGTTGATTATCCTTAGACTAATTATTATTCTCTTTTTCCCTAGTTTCTAATTTTTTGTCAGTGATAATATTCCTGTGTGCATCATTCCATCTAGTCCACTGCATATATTTATTTTCTGATGATCAACTATTCGCAGAAGTCTGCTCAATGCATACTATTTCTGTGCCAGTTATTCACGAAACACATTTGAAAATCTTGATCCAACTTTTCAGTTTTCCAATCCCTGCTTTATATAAATTTTTTATGACTGGTCATTATAATCATCATCTATTCCCAACTACCTTGTAATTGCAGTGAGCTTAGTACCATTACCACGCAAATACTATTTATCTCATTCCTTACAGCTTGAAACTAATCTTAATTATGTTCTACATAAAAAATATATTCATCATAGTTTACTTGCCTATTATTTGAATGGCAACAAATTTTACCGAGTGAATGTATCACATTTTCTCAGATACATCTAATGTCAAGTACCTTGGGCTGAGTTTTTCCACCGATCTTTCCTGGTCCTCCCACATCTTGCTAGTTACTAGAAAGATGTTTTGCTTAAAGTTTTACGTTGGAAGTTAAGGCAGTCTGGTATAAAGCAGTCTTTGCTTTCTCAGTTTGTAAATTCTTGCATTCTACCCATCCCTCTTTACTGCTCCCCATTAATCTTTCCTGGACTACTTAAGAAAGACTTTGGTTTGCTGAGAAGGGCACTAAAAGCCGTTAGTAGGGCAAGTGGGATATCGTTAAACCAACTGGTTAACACTATTGTGGATAGACATATTATGTCATTTAAGAAACTAGCGAATACTATATTTCTTTTTGATTTCAGCTTGATTCCACACTGTATTTTCGGTACAGGTATGGAATTTTCAGCATGTGATATCGGTAGCCCAAATTTTGCAGGCCTACCATAGATATCAAGTGAGCGTCGGCAGGGGATCGAACCCCGGACCATGTGCATGGTCGGCGAGAATCCTAACCACTGTACCACCCCGAGCATCCTCTCTATACGCAGCTCTCTCCTTGCATTTCATCTGATAGAACTAGAAGTAGCTATAGGAGGCTATATGCTAGGACTACCAAGTACAAAAACTCCACAATATTATATCTGGTGCAGCTGTTATGTGATGAGAAATCCGTTAGGTATGACACGATTAACTTATTGCGGCACTCTAACAAATAGTCCCATTGGTTTTTGTTTTCCTTTCCTCGTTACTATTACACTGTTGTTCTTATCTTCTATCACACATCAACTTATATTTCATATCCTGTGGTGCATTGTTTGAAATGTAAACTCTACGCTGTTTTTTATTTTTATTTATCTTTTATTTATTTCTTGGCGTTGGTTTTTTATTTATTTTTTATTTTGAAAATCTTATAAAATTTATGAGGTAATTAGATGCAATACATTGTAATGCACGCTGAAAATTCCATACCTGTACCACAAATACTGTTTGGAATAAAGCTGTTAATATTATTATTAAACATAGTCTTTTAATAGCCATATCCATGTATTATTTTACTGATGTAAGAACCTGAAGAAATTATTAAAAAGACAGTTGCAGCGGAGAAAATCTTCTTTTCGACGAAGTCATCAACTAGGCTGTACATTCGTGTATTTATGATAAATCGGTGGGAAAGTTCCAGAATAATTTCCGGTTAAGGGTCAAATTAATAAAATTACAATTAGGAATTAAAATGCCATAATAGACAGGGGGACGGATAAAACTCAAACAAAGTAGCATCATAATTACTGAGAAGATTGACATATTGTGCAATTAGGGGTTAGAAATGTAGAAATAACAAAAATAGACAGGATGTTTGAATAAAAAAGTCTAGTGGGATCATAACTCTTGTGACGAATAATTGTTTATGCAATCAGGGAATGACAAAGTAGACAGGAAGTTCGGATATGAAAATATGGTAGTGTAAATAGAGATTAAGAAAAACTTGAAAATAACATGAATAAACAGGAAGGTTTGGATAAGAAAGGCCATGGGATGGTAATTACTAAAACTTCCTGTTTATTCATGTTATATTTCAGTTTTTCTTAATCCCTATTTAAACTAGCATATTTTCATATCCGAATTTCCTGTCTATTTTGCCACTTTATCATTTCTACATATTTAATCCCCAATTACACAATATGTCAATCTTCTCAGTAATTATGATGCTACTTTGTTTGAGTTTTATCCGTCCCCCTGTCTATTATGGCATTTTAATTCCTAATTGTAATTTTATTAATTTGACCCTTAACCGGAAATTATTCTGGAACTTTCCCACCGATTTATCATAAATACACGAATGTACAGCCTAGTTGATGACTTCGTCGAAAAGAAGATTTTCTCCGCTGCAACTGTCTTTTTAATAATTCCTATTATCCTGAAGAAAATTCTATGGGAAAGAATATTCTGAGTCCAGATGATTTTTAAAAATTTCATTATATGTTAGTATTTCAGACTATGAAGTCTAAAATTATAACAATAGGTTCTCCAAAAGGATTTACTATGACAGTCATGAAAGAATCTGTATTTGAATGCCTTATTTTACGTTTTGTCTAGACGGAGAAATAAAAAGCCATATGATAACTTATTTAATATTAATGCGGATATTTTCATTTAGAACTTACAGTTTTATCTCCCAACGTTTTCTTTCATGTGAAATTTATTACGCTTTTACAATACAAATCAGATTATATAATGTTTCCGTGAAAATTAATTATTTATAGTTTTCGCGTCCACTTTTATTCCAGCTAGTATAAATAATCTGACCGTGTTTTATGCATACATTTTATTCGTCTTGTTTTGTTTTACGCATAATGAAGGTACTCTAATTCGTGTAGATACAAGTCGGTCACATGTATGGCCTACTTGTCCGTACTGTGCATGCGCCAATTTCGAAATTCGCTCTAACATGAATGATAAAATCGCTATGAAAAGTGAGAGTTTAAAGTGTATCCGATGTTCTGCGCTTTTGTCCAATCCTCTCCAACAACTGGAGATAGAAGTACAAGTCTTAATTGATGGGGAAAATAATTACAAACCTATGAGAAGAGTAAAAGAGGATAATTCACCAACTGAGATAACCTTAAACGTAAGCAGAATTTTTGTATTGCACACTTTTTACTTTTAAATAGTGCCATTGTCTCACAAGCATTAATATTTTCATGCAAAATAAAATGTGGGTTTTCCTCACATTAATTTCTCATACTGGAAATATTAATTTTTCTATGCTTCAAACATTAATGATTTCGAACTTATAGGAAGGACTTACTCACCATATTGTAACTTCACTTGTATAGTTGTGTACTTATTAAGTGATTGTAAGAAACTTACAGGTAGCCTCGACCTAGTAGGCAAACTTTAGTAAGGTGTTTACAAACGTGATAGTACTAATGCAGTTACAAATCCACATCTGTGGTCCGAATATATATATATATTGATTGCAGCTTGATTCCACACAGTACTTTTGTTTTAGTAGAAGTAAGGAATTTTCAGCATGTGATATCGGTAGCCCAAATATTGCAGGCCGACCGAGTGTGCGTCGGCAGGAGATTGAACCCCGGACCATGTACATGGTCGGCGAGAGTCCTAACCACTGTGCCACCGATTCAGAGTGCCTCTAGCACTAATGCCTCTATAGTGCTGAATTTCGCCTACTTCAAACTATTCACAAGGATGAAATTGAGATTTAGGGTTTTGATCCAGTTAATTGACGTAAATTATTGCTGCAGTGTAATAGTGAATCACATTTCTATTTTTACTGTTGGCATTTCGCTTATTATTCGGCAGCATTATAGTAGCTACTTTCTAATGAGTAGTCGTTGTAGAGGTATACACTTTCTGAAAGAAAATTACAGAATAAAGGTAAAAACTGAGTTCAGCTTTTGTGAAATTGTGGTAATTTATTCCACAATAATGAAATTGTGTTAGTTCCTATGGCTGCTTGTAAATTTGACTTTATGAAAAGTATTGTTCCCATCCTATATCCACATGATCTGATTATGAATTCCTATCAGTTTTTCAATACAAAATTTATCTTCCAGATGGCACCTTGGAGACTTTGCAAGTTGCTCAACGTAACTCAATCCAACTTGTTAACGGTAATTGATTTACGCATTAAAAATCCTTTTTTTCTCAGCTAGTATATATATATATATATTCATTAGCTTTTTGCTTTTTGTAAGATTCCTCAACTCATCGCAGTAATTTAATTGATTTATTTTATGTCACTGATGTTTACGGTTTGAGAAGTTCGTAAGTCAACTTATATTTCTAATAGCTAAGACAAATTGAACTACTATGCACTTCGCAGATACAGAAGTGGGGATGAACTGACAGTGAACGATGTGAAGCCTATTCTTTTGGTTAGATCATTTGCGTCAAATTATTCATCATAATTTTCACCACTTAGCAAAATACACATGCAAACTCGAAATAAAATAAAATCCAAGAATTGAATATGTCGCCTTTTCCATTGCACTTAAATCCAGCAGTGAATGTTATTTAGCTTACTCTAGCGCTTGATACGATGCTAATACCATTAAGTTGCTCAGTAAAAGCATAAAATGTATCTTTCAAACTAATGTATGTAAAGAGCTTTTTGGTGACACTTCACTGACATATTTCATACAGTGCATCATATGTGGAGAAGACGCACATTAGTCTGAGCACTCGACCTTCAGAGAATAGGTCCCGCGTTAAAGTCTCGCTCTACCTACGTGATCCTGGACAACTGGCTAGTATCGGGAACCCTCATAAAATAAGTGGTTGCCCATAGTCCGGCAAATCTGCTCCGTATAACTGAATTCAGGAAGAAGTGCATCATAAAAAAGACATTTAAGGGAGATTAACCTTGTGGTTGAAACAACGACACATGGTTAATTATGTATAAGATAAGAATTTTAGATTGATTTAAAACGAATATATCAAACGTATAAATATTATTCGAATAATTGTAAGTGAGCTGTTAAAGTGGTGAGAAACTGTTAGGATGTAAATTGAGAATTTCTCAATCTTTTTTTGTCCTTTGAATAATGGCTTGAAACTACAGGCCATTTTAACAATAATATTTCCTAGAGATCAAGTTCTTCCAGCTTATTAATTAATTAAGGCGTAATCTACTCTGCGCTAATCGTCATGGTAAGCTTTGGTCCACTTTGCTAACCCTATGGTGACAGTTACCCCCCTCCTCATAACACGAAGGCAGTTAACATTGTTTTATGCTAAAGGCATAGCGGTTAGGACGCTCGCCGACCACGCACATGGTCCGGGGTTCGATCCCCGGCCGACGCACTCCTTTACCTCACTGGGCCAGAAATAATGCTGATAAAGGGGAAAGGTCGGGTATGAGGCTAGCAACCCCATCCTGCAAAAATATACACTGCTACAGAAACTTCAAACCAATGGCTTGAAGCCCTATGTTCCACTGGGAACGTGAAGGAAAAATTATATATATTATATTATATATGCTAAAGGCTCCATGAACGTGTTCGCATTTACAAACATCATACGTCTTGGCTTAACCATTATGCTGGTGATAATTTTTATTTCAATCTATGTCAAAATAATGGACAATAAAGATCACTGAATTATTTTGTTTTTTCTAAACGAAAAGTGTTTTCAAATAATATGATGTAATTAGAATTACGAACTTTGCCTTTATTTACTTTTATGTGGATATAATTATGTGGAATAATTTGTTAATATCACGATGGTGTTATTTTGGCTTATCAACCTACACCAAGAGTTATTTTCATCAAATTTTACTTTAGTTATTTTTGTTAATACCTCTACACATGTAATCACATATGTGTTTGTATGCTGGTGTATATTTCTATTCATTTTTTAAAATTAGGAAACTGGTCTCAATCCAAAGGATTTAATAAATCGACGTTTAGATGATGTTTGCGCAATTGTTGTTCATATTCCTAACAAATTGACTGTTGACGACGACTGTGTACGGAAACGTAACATGCATTTGAAGAATCTGTACGCTATCGAGTTAGATCAAATTAACATTAACAGGAAGTGTAACGTGTAAAATACTCCTAAATTGTTTACTCATATAAAGCTACCTCTTGTATGATTAATTTCTACGTCATATTCAAACATTAAATATTTCTCGAAGATGCATTTTAGTTTGTACTATTAACTAACTAATCAATTCAGCTTATTTGTGAATATTGTGAGCAAATATTGTGTGACAAATATGCAAAGAAAAAACAACTATATACTGTGATGTTTTCATAATTCTTTTCCACGGGACTGAGATTTCTGTGCGAATGTACTTTGTATTCTGATAGCAAATGAGAGTGGTCAAATGTTCATTGCAATCAAATCGTGCAGTTTACTGATTAATATTTTTTTGTCATATATTTTGTCAAGTTTGCAGTCACCTAAAAGAGATAATTATTTATTATTTTTTTTCAAAGATTTTCGAGATAAATTGATTCACTTTAGCGAATATATCACTCCCGTCAAGTCTCATTTCATTGCACTCATCGTTTGAATGTGTATTCATTTAACTGACCAAGCATTAGAATAATCAAAAGACAGTGAATGTGTCCCTGGATGTGATCACACTAGTTACAAACGTCCTAGTTATGTTGGTCTATGCAACACAATATAGAATATTACTATCAATAGTGTCATACCTTCAGGAGACATAAGTTTCATCTTGAGGGTACAATTTCTGTATAATTGTAGGTTTTACTCAGAAAAAGATAGGGTTGTGATAAGATCTATCCTTCGACTGTTGCTTGAAGATATCCTTTATAGTCACAGTGCAAGACGATAATCTCTGTCTAACTTTTAAGTCAATGAATAAATATCCTTGGAATAATAATAATAATAATAATAGCTTTATTCCAAAAACAGTACTCATGATACAGCAAGGAATTTTCAGCATTTCAGTACAATATTGCATCTAATTTACTCAAAAACGACAAAAAAAAATTAAAAAATCCATTACATAATAGTAATAAAACGATTGTTATAGCAGCTACGTAGCAAAATACTGTGTGCCATACGGAGAAAAATATGTATTAAGTACAAAATTGTAGTAATAATAGTAATACCAACTAAAAATAAAATAGCAGAGTAACGATTTAAACGATAGAAAGTGTGACACCATAAAATACAGAAAGATGAACGATAAAAGGGTAGATTCACTGTGCTAATTACATAGTAACTTGTAAGTTTCACGTCTAACAGAGTCTTCGTCACATAAAGTACGCGCTAAATAGGGTATTGTAGAATTTCTATACTTAGTAGTACGAGCATATATCTTTTTATATTGATTTCTCGTCCTACCTGATGAGATACAAGGGGACAGGTGTGAATAAAGGGGGTGCAGAGGGTCTGACATTATAGCCTTTGCCCATTTCGTACAGGAATTTATATGCCTCTCGACTATAGTATTAGCGAGCTCATGCAGTGGCAGACCACAAGCTCTACTCACAGCATTTAATACTCTTCGTAATATGATATAATCTTTTTTGAGAAGCCCAGGAAAGACTAATGGAGAGCAATAGAGTACAATAGGTAAAATACAGGAGTTTAAAAATTGCAAAACTAAAGGTTGGTTGATACCTGATTGTCTTAACTTTTTAATGTAGAAGGTAAGACGAAACACATATGTATGGAATACATCTGAAATAGCATTGGACTAACGCCTTTATATACTGGTGTGGACAGAAATTATGGTGACTTTAGACACTGTCCCGTCCGGTAGACAGATCGTCTTATCGAGCCATCTTGTCAGCGTTCTATGAGAACATTTAAAAATGACATTTTCTTTCACATATATTAGCACTATAGTATTTTGTGTCGAATTCATTTGATCAAGAATATGTGTGGCATCTGCTGAAATGGAACAGAAAATTATCATCTCATCTGTACATCACCTTTAAAAATACATTCATAAAAAGTGAATCAACTACTTTAAACAAAACCATGAGCCTGTAACATTATTATGAGTTAATAAAACTCAGAATTATATTAAGGATGATAGTGTATACATCCGAGGTTTGGATTTTTCGTGTAGTAAATCAACTTAGGATTCGATTTTAAGCGAAGTATGTTTGAACCTTTATTATAATGAAGTATGTTTGAGTTTTCGGAGGAGTGAGAGTGTCTTCAAGTTTTCAAATGTAGGGTTTTTTACCCAATGAGTTATCCTTAAATCTAATATTAAGTCACTATGTCGTGTAGTTTATTCTGTGATCACTACGTACATGACTAGACAGCTGAATCAATAAACCAAATTCTCAATCTTCGAATTACACAGTTCGAAGTGGATTCTCAATACACTTTCCATTGAAGACCAAAAATTTCAGTTCACAATATGTAATCTTCTTAAAACAAGTGGCAATCAAGAATACAAGCATAACTGCATGATGATGTATGCTTTAAGTTGGTTGATATGAATTGACATCAACTAGTAATGCTTTTAAATTGATCTAAATACTGAATTGTCATTTTCTTCGTCTGGGGTTGAGCTCATCAACGATGTACGCTGTTTTGACTCAGCTCAGAAAGCTTAATCTACTCAAACCACCCGAACTTGTAGTGTATTCCATCATATATTGACGCTTTATTGATATAAGTATAAAACTTGGGCAGTGTGGTAGAGTATAACTCTATAATGGATAAAAATTTATTTTGATAAAATCATATGTTGTTGTACAGTAGTATTTACTGAGCACAAATGGTTGCCTAGTAAATAAATAACGCTTGTTTTCTTGATCCACGCTGAAAATTCCACACTTGTACCAAAAATACGGCGTGGAATCAAGCTGTAATAAAAAATAAATAAATGGCATACATACAAATTTTTCGAGTTAGTTGAAGCTGGTATGTGTTGGATGGAATATTATTTTATATTATTTGTGATTATATATCAAGATGAGTGTGCATGTTTTGAGAATTTCAAACAAGACATCTGTGAGGAAATTACAGGAATAGATTCTTCTAAATTTGCAAACGGTACGATATGGCTTTCATTTAGAAGTCAGGTAGCTCTCTGTCTGTTGAAACCCGAAAGTACTTGTAAGTTCAGCTGCTTCTTTGAAGTAAGACTGCTTTGTGCAGATTCTGTAATTATCCAGAGAAACCTTCTAAAAAAGATAAAGTCACAACGAGTTCACTGCTGATGTCTGAACGAAACAACAATATTGGCTATATAGAGGGTTTCTAGGTCGTTTTGAATTTCTAGAGATTTTAATATAGATGTTGTCATAAAATTACATTAGTTTGGGTCAAACTGAAAACCAGGTACTATTAAAGAACTTCTTCATCCCAGTTTGGACTCTTCAGTTTTGAAGTCGCCAGTGAGGATAGTTGATGACAGGATGTGTATGTCGTCCTAGTTCAACTAAGTTCATATCTGTATATGTACTAACGTTTGCTTTCTATGTTCCTCAAAAGATATATAGCATTACACACAGGTATTCTCAGGAATTATATCAACTTTCACTTTCTACAAATTATTTTTTCAAAAATTAACATAGCTAATATGCTAATCAATAACAAGATACAAACGGACCAGTGCAATAAAATAAGGAATCCTATCCATAAAAGTTATTAGTGGATAGTAACGATTTCATTCTTTGTAAAACTCTTTTCAAATCAACTATTCATGCATTCATTTTGTTGGGGGTATTACAGGCAATCAGCTGGGTCTCATGCCAATGTAATATGAAGCCTACAAGAGTCATTATGGTAGGCATCAGTAAGTTTAACATATAAGAATTTTTGTTTGTGCATCAAGTAGGTAACAGATAATCGTCAGCAAAGTAAATAATCATATCCACGAGTATACTTTTAAGTAAACTTGCGTACTTGTATCCATTGTCTCATTGTGTAAGTAAAGCACGGAAGGTAATCTAGTCTCTTAACGTTCAAGCAATTTTCAATATAGGTGTATTTCGATATCTTTAGTAGTTATTGGAATATCAGAACATTTTGAACCAAAAAAAAAATAATTATTCTGTTCTAAAGAATTTATAATTTTCACAGGAATACTATAGAATTGCATATATACCTACATACGAGTTGCAGATATCCCATATCATTTCTAAGTTTTCTGATGTATCAGTAACATCTTAAAACCTCGCTGTGAGTATCGTTTAAGAAAACTCATCATCTGTACAATCAAACAGCCTTTCTCTAATTTCAGTATTCAGTTTTATTAGTGATATTCAAATTTTCGTTTTTATTGCAGACATTTGCTAAATATAATCTTCCGAGATTTAAAAGACAGTATTACCAAAAGATAAGATTTATATATATATATACTGCTTTGGTGATTGGTTGTTTTATGTGTAGCAGTCATTGCATAACTGTTATGCTTAGTTTTATTTAGATATCCCAAATGGAAATTTTGTTGTACACTAATGTATCTACGCAAAAAGCAGCAGCTATAACAGTACACTGCAGCTAAACAATATAAGAATTTTTATTTCTCATGAGGATTTTCTTCAGCTACCTACCAACCTCTAGCTTTCTATATTATAAGAATAATTTAACAAATATATGCACAATTTCATTAAATTTATAAGTGAAGAAGTGAAGCTTTCAAACGTAATTGTAAATTTAAATTAAATTAAAAATCTTGTAGAATTGTTTATAGAAAGTTGATTATATAATCCTGTCGGAGAAATTAAAGACTGCTGAATTACTAATAAAACAACAAAGGAGACTTTTAGACATTCAGAGATAATTTCATATCACCCTTAATAAGTAGTAGGCGTTGTTAAGCAAATCCATACAAAATAAATGTTTGACGTGCTAGTGCTGCGTGTTCTTAGCCTGCTTTTTTCTTTCTATAACTGAGGTTACAAGAGTTAGTTCTGGATTTGTTTTTTTTTAAAGTTTTTTTTTCAATAAAAGTTTCGTGGCGCGGTAGTGAATACGACGAAGCAATTAATTTATGCCATATGGAAAATTAAACATCCTACCTACCTTAATACCAGAAGGAAACTAATAAACACTATTTCCCAGAAGACTTCTCTACATATTTTGTCGTCACAGGGAAAATTT